TTTGTTATTTTTTTTGTTAAATACAAGTAATTAAATAAATATATTTTGCCTAACTTCAAATATTAAGGCGCTCATCGATAATAACATTGTCGTTACTCAGTTGAAATCACCTTAAAAAAAAAAGAAAAGAAAAGTGAATTAATATTTTTTTGTTAGATATTGCAATAAAGTATATTTTACTTATTTAAAAAAAAGGAATCACATTAAGTAATAAAATATTTGTTGAAAAAAAATTTAAACAATAAATTGTATAGTGTTAGTTTTTTTCTTTAAGTTATTGACAATATTTTGACATTTAAAATACGAGTATTTTGTGGCCGAATTTAAAGTTTTTTTTTTTTTTTTAAATAAAACAACGTGTTACCTCTTGCAAGCAAACAACAGTGCAAATTATGAAGAAAAAAAAAAAAGTACATAAAAATGCCTGAATATGTTTAAAATTTGACAAGTCAGAAGGGATAATTTTACTTTGAAACTTCATCAAATTTTCTAACAATGGATTTGTATATTATTACCGTTGTACATAATTTTCTTTAAAAAATGCAAAAGGTGGAGGTCAATCATTGTAATATGATTTAATTTTATATATTTGTATGCATTATTACTTTAGGGCAGGAAGCGACGATCACTGTATACGTGGACTCAATTTGACCTCAAAATGTAGTATACAATTACAAAAGAAGATGAAACCTATAATTAATATATATATATATATATATATATATATATATATACTCTACAAGTATATTTTGATAAATCGCCTAACTTATTGAAAATTTTTAACAGTCACGGGAAAAATCAGGGAAAAAAAAAGAAATTGAAAATTTACATTGAACTGGAGTTTCTTTTTTCAATCCAAAAAAAAAAAGAAGAAAAATTTAAAAAAGAATGCGGGAGAAAAAAAAATGTAGATAAATTGTTTTATTACGGGAAAAAAAAGAATATGCCAGGAAAATAACTATAAAAAAAGGAACGGGAAAAAATATTATGAAAACAAAATAAACATGGAAATCGCTAAAATGAATTTAAATGTTAAAAAAAAAAAAAAATTCTCTATCTCATTTGAAGAAGAAAAAAATAAATTTAAAAAAAAAAAGAAAAAAAAAATTCTTTGTGCGTTCGAAGAAAAAATTACAAGCAAAAAAGAAGAAAACAACATAAAATAAAATAATAATAAATAATTGATAAAATTTTAATAATTTATTATTATTATTATTATTTTGATTATTTGAAATATAAAAATTATTTTATTTATAAATTATTAAATTTAATATTGACTTTTTTTCATGTATATGAATTTGTTATTTAAATAAATGAAAAAAAGTGAATGAAAACGTTTTTATATTTTTTATTCTTTGATATTTATAATTATTTATTTACCTTTATATTTTTGTGTTATAATATTATGCTTTTTTATTTTATAAATAAATTTGATTTCACGAAAGTTTGCGTTTTATTTTTTAAATGCCGGTCAATAAAATTTTTTTTGATTTTGGTTTTTTTGGTTATGCGATTTCCGATCGCGTTGATCGGAAAATATTTTTTTTTTCTTTTTCCGTGTTTTACTCGTCGGTATCGCGAGAAATAAAAATTACGATAAAAAATAAAAAAAAATCAAATTTTTATTGTCCTGTATAAAAAAATTGGTTTAAAAGTGTAAAAAGCATTATTTTTATTTTTATATATTTATATACATTATTCATATGTAATTATTTTAATAGGTAGTAAACCTGCTTTTGTGGGGTTTTTTTTACTGTGTTTGATTCCCTAATTTATTTATCCCGGAATTGTCTTTATCGGTATTTTATGTCAATGATATTTTTGTGTATTTGACACTAAAATCATATTAAAAATTTATGTATATATAAATTTAAAGACTTAAATAGAATGATTTAGTGTTGTGCTTGCAAAAGGAAACTATATTTCTTTTTAATTTTGTTGACAACTTTTTTTTTAATCATAGTTACTGCGGTTTGCTTAAACAATTAATGGAAAATTGCATAATACTGCCTTTTTTTTTTTTTTTAATATCGCAATTCATAAATTTATACGTCAAAATTATAAGAATTATTCGGTTTTATTTAAACGATCTGATGAATTTATGCACATATATATTTGACGTTTGCTATTGTAGTTTTTTTTTTTTTTTTTTTCATGTGAACAAGCGATTGAGATATTTATAGGATATTATTAGCAATATATATGTGAGCAAGTCTATGATCATTTTTTTTAGCACATTGTCAGATTCTTTCAAAAAAAAAAAAAAAAAAAAAATCAAATTTATTACAAAAGTATAATATTTATGGCAAGTTTGCAAATTATCGCTCTCCAAATTCCGACATTGTTTATTATTATAAACCTTAAAGAAATCTTTGAACTCAACTGGTGTCTAATTTATCGTCATCAATGATGAGGAGTTAATTAAATTTCGAAAAAGAAAAAAAAAAAAAAAGCACCTCTGTTTATAGGTCGTTTAGCGTCTCGGCACGATTATCTATGTCATAATATTTTTTTAAAATATTGTCGATGAATTTTATTTATAAAATACGATATTTAAAATCGTTTATGTATCGATTTTCTTATTTTTTAAATTATTTTCTTAATTAAATTATTGGTTAAAAAAAAAAAATTGATCACTATTATAATAAAGGTTATTTATAACATTAATCGCGGATTTTTATGTATATTAAAATTAATTTCTTTAGGTATGCCATCGAAAAAATTTCCACGTACCTGTCTACGAATTTCAATAATAATAATAGTAATAATAAATCAAATTCATTTTTAAAATACTTATATACGTATATCATAAGTAAGAAAATTTTCTCGTATAAATAATGTGCGAAATAATAAATACCTGGTTTTATTTTGTATGACTTATTATGCCTCGTGAAATTCCATTTGTATTATTGTTGATTACGTTTATAAAATAAATTGTATACATATTTATTTATTTCGTAATTACTACCATTTTTTCACTATTGCTATTATTAAATTTAAAATTTTTAACTTGTAGCGATTTTATTCATTTAATTGCCTGCAAAATATCCTGATAAAAAAAAAAAGTCTTTCAATGTTTTTTTTTTCTCTCTCTCCTGGCAGGTGTTAGACTATTCGTTTACAAATAAAACAAAAGTTGGTTTATTTATTTAATATTGAAATTTTATCAATTTCATTTTAATGGTCAAAAGGATTAATTATGCAACCCTTTCGACCATCAAAATGATATTGATAATAATACTACGTAATTTTAACAAAAGAATTTTTCATTTAAATATCGTGTAAAAAGCTTACAAAATTTTTATTTTAATGATTAGCAATAGAATTTATTTTTAAATATATTCAATCCCCGATAATTCATTAATAAATATTGTTTATTGTAAAAGTTTAAATTTAGAAATTATTTTTTGTACAGCTGGAATAAGTTAATTAAATGATTTCAATTTAAGAAAAAAAACTGATGGTGATATTATACTATAAATCTCGGATTTAAAAAAAAAAAATTTTTAAGTTAACAAGTTAAAACTAGTTTTCAAAATCATAAATTTTTAATTATGATTAAAGTTTGACGACTACAATTGCTGTGACACAATTTTATTAAATTGAATTGACCGAACTAAATAAAAATTTCCATTTGAGTTATTGATTGAATTTTATTTGAATCTTTAAAAAATCAAGTTAGTTACATTATTATTATTATTTTTTACTATTTTTACTATTATTTTATAAATAATTCATGTGAATAATGAACAATATTAATAATTAAGGTTTTATTCTTTAAAAAAAAAAATTTTTTTTTGAGCTTTGCCTTGCATCACTTTTGGAGAGAGTTTAATCTGTATTTCAGTTTCAACCTTCTCCAAGAGCCAGAATCTTGTAGCTTCCCGAATGCTTTTAAAAGGTACTAGATTCCTTCCCCCCCCCCTTATGAAGATACAAGCTTGTTTCTACTGCAACTTCTAGTAGACGCTTAGTTACCCTGTAAAATTCAATCCCAAAATCTGAAACATCCTCTATGCCTAGCAATAAAAAAATGTTTTTCGATTCTATCTGTTTTTTTTTTTGCAAATTCGATCATTCATGCGTAAAGATTCCTACCTATTTTCTTGTTCTCTCTCTCTCTCTCTCTCTTAAAAAAAAAAAATGTTTATGATTTATAAGAAAACTCAGACAGAATCTTAAATTATAAAAACTGAAATTAATTAAGTAAAAACACTTTATGTATATTTACAATCCTAAATTTGGTTTACTAATATATAAATATAATGTTATAAGTTTTTTTTTTTAAGGCGTAGAAAATTCCATGAAGCAGATTGTATGAAATTGTAATATAAATAAAATAATAATAATAATAATCAAGTTTTAATATTTTACTTTCAATTTATTCATTTCGCATATTTAAATTATTTATTTAAGAAACATTTATTACGAATTACGTGTAAGGCGAAAAATTTAATTTTTTCATTTTCATTTTTAATTTTTTCCGAAAATTCAAAGTTATTAATTATTTTGTTTTCTTCCCCCTCCCTTTCTTTTCTAATTTAATATTTTCATGATGTAGGACGTGTGTACATATTAAAAAGCCATGAGTAAATTTTTAGGAATTTTAATGCTGAAATATTATCGATAACTTTTGTACGGTGGCATAACAATAGTTTCGATAGAGTATAAATGTAATAAATTGATATTAAAACTTTACGTCTGCAAAGTAAAATTAATCAAATTATTTTATAATCACGAAAACCATAGACCTTAAATAAAATAATACTATGGTGGACTTTTAAATTTTAGCAGAAGATAATATATTTATTTGTGTGATAAATCGTGTCATTAAGGGAATTTGTAAAATAAAAATAAGTGTAAGCATTTTTTTTTTATACAGATATTGTCGGTTTTTTAAAACTTCTGAATAGGGGGGTGGGGGTTAGAGGTAGAAGGAGAGAGAGAGAGAGAGATAGATAGAGAGCAGGTTATAGTAAGGGTGTTAGCATGCAATTGTAATGAAATTTTTTGAAGGCGATATTCAAAATGCTATTTCTAAACGAAAAATTTTTTCCTCTGCATTTATCGTTTTTGTCGAAGCCAAAGACGATGAATCAGCAAAGTTTCGAAAAGTTTTAGAAGAAGAAAATTTGATTTCCGCGAAGGATTACATAGCATTTCGCGTCATTTTCCAGTCCGAATCATTTAAACATTTTTCGGCCATTTACGGCGCGGTACCGGTACCCAGTTTATTTATAATTGGCAACGACGGTGAACCGATAAGAGTTTTATCAACTTTTGAGTCCCGCAACGAATTATATAAATTAATAAAAGAAGCTTTGGAAATTCATAAAAACGATTCATTGGCTCAAAAAAGGAATGAACGCTCTAAAATTGATAATTTCACACAAATTTTGCTTAAACTTTCAAGGGGTGAGACTGCGGTGGTCGAATTTCCGGAATCTTCTCAATTGAAAGAAATAAAAATTTTTGTTAGAGATTCTCTTCAAGTTAAAGAACCGTTTCAAATGATCATTCCATTTCCAAGGAAAGTGTTCACTGCTGAAGAGGAAGGAAAAACTTTAGTCGAACTTGAACTTTGTCCTACGTCTACCATTCTAATAGTCACTCCGGATAAATTCAAACTTTTGCCTCCGCAGTTTTTATCAAATATCCTAATCGCCGTTTTCACGGGTTTATGTCAATTCGTTGAAAGTTTTAAGCGATGGCTTTTGTCTTTCATATCGCGTCGTTCCGTCAGAAGCAATTGAAAATTTATTTGTTTTTATTAATTTTACAATGGAAAACAATGATTAATCATTTTCATTAATATATCTGTAATCGTACAGAAAATTATTTTAATTATAGTAGACGAGGGAAATATGTGTTAATAGCATCTCAAGACATAATCATGGTAATTTATTATTTATTAGACAAATGATACATTTTGTTTGGCTTCTAACTAAACTGGCAGACATTTATAAAACTGTAAAAACCAGTTATAAATATATATATTTACTTTTAAAACATTCGATTGTGATTTTTTGTGGAGCGGTAAATATAATTTGAAAAAAAAAAGGAAAAAAAAAATTAGAATGAAAATAAACCACGGAATAGCCGGAAGTGGTGGTGCACTCCTGTAATTCAACTACTGACCGAAGGCTAGGCATAGAGGATGTTTTGAGGGCACGGGTTCTGGGATTGAATTTCACAGGGTAACTAAGCATTCACTGGGAGTTAAGTTTCGAACATGGATGCTTTCGAGTCTTCCAAGGTAGGTAGCAGGGGTTGACTAAGAAGAGGGGAAAATTGGTCTTTAAGGTCTCCGTGTAGAAACGGTCGCGGATCAAATCCTCGAAATGAGAGAGTTTCCAGTTTCGATTCGTGCAACAGAGACAGGCTTGTATCTTCATAAGAGGGACTAAAAAAAAGATCTATTATCCTTTAAAAGCATTGGAGAAGCTGCAAGATTCTGGCTGGTAAAGTGCTAGGCGATGCTCAAAAAAAAATTTTTTTTTTTTTGTTAAAAAGAGGTTGCTGATAGTAAAAATGAAATAAAACGAGATGAAATATGAGGTAATTAATTTATCTATTATAGGATAGTAAGAAAGTTGAATCGAATCCGATTACGTAAGATTTTGTGAAATCACAAAATTTATCGCAAACAGGCTACCATCGACAGCCTCGCTTATATATATATTTAATGAGAATTTGAAAATCTGTAGGAAAAAGGTGCTTTCTTTGAAAAATTCAATTACGATAAATTCTAAATCTTGACGAAAAATATTTTGTAATATTATAAGATTTGTGTAAAGCAACTAAAAGGTTCAATAGATAGAATTAGAAGTCGGTCGATAGAGAAGAAAATAAAAACCTTTTTTTTTTTTTTTTTTTTGCTTTCTACGATGGAAACCGAGCGACGAAGAAACTTTTTTATTACCCGTTGAGAAACAGGTAATAAGAGAAATCAGTGTGAAATTATGGTCGTGGGAATCCCGGCTCGTTCGAAAACAATATTTTAGTTAATTATAGTGTACATTATTGTCGGTTTTAAAGGGAAAACAAGAATTGCATTCCGATGCTGTAAGACTGAAGCACCTGCTTTGCAGACTGATTCTGCAAAAACAAGTGAATAAAAATGTCTCAAATCATTAAGGGTTTGTAAAAGATCCCAAAATAGAATAGCGTTTGATATGCCAAAGAGAGGGGTATAAGGTAGCGATATGTAGGGTAACATCTAAAGGAAGGAAACGATGTAATTATTTTATTAATGACAAAAAGTTCGTTAGATTTTTTTTTTTTTTAAATATAGTTCCTTTTTTCGTTTAAATTCAGGGTCAAAAGTTTACAAAGAATTCAATAAAAAATAAAATAAACTAATAAAATATTTTTAGAATACAAAATGAATTGATTTACTTAATTTACCTTTTTTTTTTTTCGAGTCTCGAATTAATACGAATGATATGAAAAAAAATGAGACCGAGTTCGTTGTTTCGAATTTGAAATTTTATACTTTAAATAAATGACAATTTTTTGTTTTTTTGGTTTACTATCATCATTTTTAATTTTGCCCTAAGGTAAACCTAGGTTTTCATTCTATATAGTATTATAATTAGAGAATAATTTGGGTCGATTTAATAAAGACGCACTTCTCGCGAGTTTTGGAGTTATCAAAGTCAAAAAGTCATTCATGATAACAGGAATATGAGTTTCCGTAGTATACTGTCAATTTTAAAAAGTCTGTATCAATAAATTTATCTTTTTTTTTTTTTTTTTTTTTTTTTTGTTCTAATTTTTTTAATATTTAATCTTCTGTTCTTTGAACTTGCCTTTTATTTATTTATTTATTTTTTTTTTTTTTTGAAATGCTATTATTTACAAATTTATTATTATATTTATATTTATTTAATTATCATTTTCATTTTCATCATCATCATTATTATAAAAAATAAATATTATTAAATTTAATTTGAAACGAGGATTTATATACCGTATGTATTTATAATTTATTTATATGTTTTCGCATTAATTTTTTAAAGATTCTATTTAATAAATGAAACCATTCATTGTAGAATAATATCGGCATGTCCATAATCAGAAAAGATGATCAAAATTTTAGTTTTTCTCAATCCGTGAATTATTTCAAAAAATATTTTTCTCTTCTATATTTCATTAAGTTCACTTTTTACCGGAATCTCATAAAAAAAAAATTTTCCCCGATTTTTCCTGCTAAGAGAAAAATTTATCTGATTTTTCATTTTACACTCTGGTAATGTTAGTCTTACGTTTCACAATTTATATTACTGTTTATTTTTCGATCATGTTTGTTCCTTGGAAATTAAATATATTTAGATCAATTTTCATATGTAATTCATTGTTTCTTGTCTCAATATCTTGGTTTATCGGCTGGAATCTTCAGTTATACTAATCTTTATTTATTACTGCCTCAATTCATCGAAAAGGGTATTTATACTACATTTTATGTAATGGTCTTTTCACAAAAAAAATCGCGTTGGGTTTCAATATCGAACAATCAAAAATTAAATAATGAATGGTTTCTTATTGGCTCTTTTGCAAACTCAAATGTTACTTGATTTACAAAAAATTTACCTTTCGCATCGGTATCGGAAGTTGTTTTTTTTTTATTTTTTTTTTTATTATAAATATTTAAAAAATTTTGGTTTAACTGAGTTCTTTCATTCGTAAAAAAATAGTTTTTGTAAATTATAACATATATATTATCCATGTTTGCCAACTGTTTTCATTATTTTCCATCATCTTTTCTAAAAAAGTTATATTTAAAATTTGTGAAAGCCCAAAGATCTGAGAAATGCATCAATCTAACCTAACTAAAAAGGAAAATTATTTTCTTTCCTTTCACCTTAAATTTTTGTTAATTATTTCAAAGTTATATTCCTCCGTAGCCTCTAATCTATTTACAATTCGATATTGGCGGTAAATTTAATTGTACTCGGACAAAAATATAATTTTTTATTCCTTTTCTTAATGGCCATATTTGCCAGGTCAAAGTGTTTTTTTTTTTTTAGTCCCAAATAAATGTTAGTTTCTTTTAGGTCAAGTTCTTCGATTGCTTCTTTTGAGTCAATTTTCTTTTTTTTTTTTCTGGTGACCTGCCTGCCTATTTATCAATTCCAAATAGTACAGTAACGTTTCTTTGAAATTTTTTTTGTGCCATTTGTCTCATAATTTTCCGAAATTCAGTTGTTTTAAATAAAAAGGGTTTGTGATTGATTGATTGGCCTTTTTTCCTTTTAGCAATTTTACTATTATTCAAAGGAATATTTTAAAATTCCAAGAAAACTATATCAACCCAAGTCTTATATCAGTTTATTATTATTTATTTATTTGTGGAATGAAATTTTCTTTTGTTTTCCTCTTAAACTTAATTGAGAATTTGTTTTAGAAATTATTTCTGTTTCTTTAAAAAAAAAAACAAATGCTACTTCTACTCATCATCCATGGTCGGACAGGGTTAATAAGTGTTTTTTTAAAATAATGTATACATAAATAAAATTATATCGCATTTGTAAAACTAGTGGGAAAAAGTATTATAATTGTACAAATTTTATTTATTTTTTAATTAGTCGTTGCTGAC